GAGATAGAGAGAGAGAGAACAGTAAGCAAGTGCAGCGAGAAACAGAGGGTGGCGAAGAAACAGGGGTACGAGACAAGGAAAGCGGCTGTGTAAGGATCGGACGACAAGTAGGGCAGGGTGGGTGCGAGACTGACGAATGAAGAGGAAGGAGAGATGGCAGGTGGGGAGGAGCAAGGCAAGAAAGACCAATGTGGGGGGCGAGAGAGGGAGAAAGGAAACTCAACAGACCCGTATACAGGCGATAGAATTTTAATACAATTAGCCTGCCAATGTAACGAATTAAGTACCCGTAATACCATTGTATTGTCCCCATGCAGCAATTGAGGAAGTAAGCTCAGCGTTTGCGCGCGCCAGGTGCACGCTGTCAAGTCACGACTCTAAGAACATCAACAATACTTATAGTAAAAAATACCCTGTGGGTCGGTGTCAATGTGGTTTCCAGCTGTCGTCACTCTTCAGTTAAGTTAACCGGAGATGGGATCGGACTAAAGTCCAGAATTACACATTAAAAAAGGACAGTTGCGAAAACGGAAAGCGGCTCGCAAACCGGAGCACAAATGCCGAAGACGGTGCATACTAGCGGGCACTGACAGTGTAACTTAAAAGCACTTTGTGATATCTCTATTAGAACAGAAAAACGCCAATTCAGCAGAATCTCCGTTCCCACATCCTACTGCGAACGCATGCTGCTATTTTGATGGTCATACCTAGCTAGGGCGCATAACTATACCGCATGGTTCTACGAAATACAAAGCATCTAGAGAGGAAAGAAGAGAGCACCAGAAGATAGGGCACCCAAACAATTGTGTCCGACGCAGTGGAGGTGCAGAGTTTTGGGGCCACAGTCTTCTCTCTCTCTCTCTCTCTCTCTCTCTCAGCCTTAGGAAATCCTAAAGAAGGAAGCGCGGTCAGTGTGGAGGGGCCAGCACGTGCGCTTTAAGCACGGATCGGAAGGTCACGAGGTCAACAGAGCATCCATCAGAATGGTGTTAGCATTGCTTGCGAAAAATGGCCAATCAGAAAGGCAGACATCCTATCGCTCGAAGCCTTCGACGGTTGGTGTTTTCGAAGCCTCTAAAGAGTCTCCTGGCAAGATCGAATTTCAAATGTCGAGCTACCTCACAGGTATTTCAAACTACCAAGTCTAACATTATGCATCCAACATCACAGATCGCAATGGTTTGGCCATGTCCTGCGCAAGCCATCCACGGACCTCTGCAGATTGGTCGTAAATCCCTCTCTTACCGACATGGCGGTGAACTGAAGACGTGGCTCAACACTGTCAAGTGGGACGTCCAACGCATAGGCCTCGTACCCGTATACGGCTTGCGACACTGGAAAAAACACTGGTTTGACATTTGCGAGGAGCTCGATTCCGACCGCTGCCTATGGGCCGTCGCTATCTGTGAAACCAATTCATCCAACAACAGGAGCTAATCGGATCAATTACAAGTACTCACGATCAAGAAAAACACAGGAAATCAAAAATAAGCAGAAAAGATGAAAGGGAGAAAAGAAAGCATTTCGAAGGAAAAAAAGACTAGCCACGAGACAGTCTACATGAGAAATTAAAACTAAACCTATCTGCTTTGCTATCCGGAGACTACAGAACGGTCAAGTATGCAGTCGGAGCAGAC